AAACTACAGCAAGCCTGCATCTAGCATCCTAAACACAATGTGTGACAAACCGCACTGCTGAGCTGAGAAGTTGTATCTAACCACTTATAAAAACTAACTCCATTTACACTGACTCCTCTTTTTTAGTGTTGCATGCTCGAATAGTGCAATTGCAACTTTCACACCTGCACCATGAACAGGTTACAGGAAAGCGATGTCACACAATGTCAACCCGCTGCACACAAAAATATAACTTGCTCATTATGAAGTTTTAGTCTCATATGCAATATGATTTAATCACGTGTTTATTGAAAGTCCCACCTCTCACCCTGTAACAGCAGAAATTACTACTAGAAAAGCTCAGTCTAGTTTTTTGAAACTAGACTCAGCTTTTCTGAGATTATTACAAATTTGAGCTGCACTACTTTTTTCAGATTAAGAGGACTGCCACGGGTGCAGTGACTGCTTCAGCATCTAAGTTGTTGGTTCCTGTTTGGTGTTAGTTATATGCCAACCTCCAGTTTGGTGTTTTTTGGTTATTTTTAGTCTCCTCTGTGTTTCCCTTCTGTTATTCTACCCTGTGTTTTGGGCATTTATATCATTGTTCCTCTTATTGGCCACAAGATGGCAATCTAGCTCCATATTTATGGGTATGTGAGCTCTAAAATGCATCATGTCTGAGACTGCCGTGACAATTGCTGACCGCCGGGGCCACTATTTCCTGTTTGTGTGCGTGTGTTAACACTAATAAAGCTGCATTTCTGAGGCTGAGCGGTCTTTGATCAGAAGAATTGCAAATTTTAACACTTTGATGTGAGCTTGCCACTCTAGTGTCAAAAGTGGGATTTAAGATTAGCCTGGAAATTGCGAGACCCAAGAACTAGAAAGAGCCACTGAGCAGAACGTTTGTCGTCTGGAAAACTGAAGCAGATGAAGCAGCCAGTGATGGTTCAAGATTGTCAGCCCACCCTGGCTCTATGGCTCACTTGTGGAGAGGAGGATCATTTTGCTGAATACAACAAATCCATAGTGTATCGTCACCTTCCAAAATAAAAAAATAAAAATAAAACAAACCCACCTCTACTGGCCCACATCCCCAGTTCAGGACAGCCTGCAGCAACGTCCAAAACACCACCCAGGCTGCCAAAGTATTGTGGGCTAAACAACAAGACACCACCGATCGAGGCAATCTACAACAACCAGACAATGCTGTGCGCTGTCCAGGTGAGGTGCTTATTAGGCATAGATTATTTAACTGTGTGGCAACATCTCAGTACAGATTTCATAATTATTTTAAACATTGTAGTTTTGCAACTTTCACCAGAGCCCGCAGGTGATGAATATGAAGTAGGGTAATGAAAGAATAAAGTAGCCAGCCCGGTCTTTGTGCCAGGGGACAGTGTCTGGATGTGCTGCCCTGTATGCATGAAGGGCTTGCAATCATGACAGGGCTAAGCTGGTGTATCAGCAGCAGCGGATCTAGAGAAATTTTCTTAGGGTGGCAAAGAAATCACATGGGGTGGCAAAATCGAAGCCTTTTTTTTCACAAACACACATTCAAATGCAATAAGTATACACGTTTGTCATGTAAATATCATCTATAACTTAATTATTTTCTGAAGCCCACATAATTAAACACTTTAGTTACATAAAACATGTGATTTTATGTACTGTATGGCCTGTATAATAAATAAATATGTAGCCCAATAAGTATAAAATCCAGAAAGTTACACAACATGGGACGGTTCATTTACAAACACAAATCTAACTTAAGTTTCACACTGTTTTTTGTTAGAAAAAAAAATCTAATTGTTACATGCTTAAATTACACAAAATGTCAGAAATCTGCACTGTCATGAACAAAGATCTGTGTTGAAGTCTGTTGGAGGTGCAGCGAGTCCGTGGACCCCAGAGGGTTAATAACACTCACCTTCATTCCATTTCCAGAGTGCAACGACCAACCACCTGTGTGAAATCTGAAAGTCCCATGGTGTTGTTCAAAATGTGCTCTGGCACAATCATAAGCATCTTGCTACTGAAAACTAGAAAAGAAGACGGTCTGTGCTATGGGCTGAACCATTTGTTAATGGAGGGGGGGGGAACACTATGCGATATATTCAGTTTTAGCATTTATATTCACTGTTAACTGTAACTACGCTCAAAGTGCTAATGCTATGTTATTTTAATAAACAACACTGTCATATGCAAAACTATGGTGGCACTTGGGGTGGCAAGAGATCATTTTAGGGTGGCACTTGCCACCCCATGCCACCCTTCTAGATCCGCCCCTGTGTATCAGGCACGCATGGCGAGCTGTGGCTGTATGGTGGTATTGTACCAGGACAGGATTTCATCATATTACCCCCTCACCCCTTCCTATACACACCCCAAAAACCTACCCCGTGCAACAGTTGACTGGGAGAATTGGTCAGTTATTTTATAAGTATTCTGACACCACCAAGGAAGCTGTGCACGCCACTCGCTCATGTTACAGCCACCAGAGCTGGACACAGAGCTGGCCGCTCTGAGTTAATTAATGTTAAACTAGCTCGTGTTAAACTGGTGGAAGGTTCCTCACTGAAATGTCTGCCACCTAAAGTTAAAAATAAACTGGCAGCATTTAGGTTTTTCTCCTCTTCCTCTTTTTTCTTCTTTCTTTCTGCTTTTCAATTTTCATTCTTGTTCCTAGCTGCCATTCACTGAAACACAACTATGAATGCCACTTGAACTGTAAGAGGCACGAGTGGGGTCCTTTCAGGGAGGCCAGGTCTCTGCTGTCAGAGACCTGCTGGCACTAGTCTGGGCCCCAAGCATCTGTCTGGTGGTTGACCACAATCCACTGTCTCTCTCACACTCACAGACTCTCTCTCCTCTGTCACGCTGTCACGCATTTCCTGCACTCACATACAGTGGTAAGTGTCAGTGGCGAGAGAGGACCGGTCTTACCTCCAGAGAAAACAC